AGCAGAACCACAGTCGAGATTCAAAGGGGCGGGCCTGAATGGGGGAGTGTCTCTTTAGAGCCCCTGGGGCGATGCTGAAGAGTAATTAGGTCCAGTGTGACCGGCACAACTTAAAGATTAAAGCCTCGGAAGGACGAGTCTCCAGCTCCGACGGCAAGTGGGCGGAGCCTAGGCGGGGCGGGGCTTCGCGGAACTCCGAACTGAAGCCCAAAGGTGGAGCGCGGTAGGTACCGACTCCCGACTCCTGCTTCCCCCGCATCCTCCCATCGCCCCTTCCACCTGCTCCTTACCCGGACCAGCAGGAACTTGTTCATGGGCGGATACCACTGAAGTAGGACAACGGACGTCTCTAATGCTCCGCACAGAAACGGGCCCCCGGAACTCGCACCCTCCGCTGTGGGAGTGGGCAAGGATCAGGATCAGGATCCTGGGTCAGGATCAGTCCCTCTCCCCTGCTCTTGCAAGGCCCAAACTACCACACACCTTTCCCTGACAGCTGGGCAACCCTATGGTATGGATCTACCCAGGCCCCACTCCTGGCCCAGCCCGCCTCCTCGCTGCACACCCAGGCGTTCGCTCTCACCCACACAGCACGCCCTACAGCCTTTGGTGTCCTGGATCTTGGTGGAGACCATATTCTTCCTAAAGAACGAGTAGGTGAGAATGGGCGGAGGGATGGCAGTGGGAGAGGGGAGTTCATAGGCCACTGTGGTGCCACTGGGGGCTGGTACCTTGCCAGTAGCCGGTGGGGGCTAATGTGAGCGATGGGGCTTCCTGTTCTGGTCTCTTTCCGTTCCAGCAGGCCCAGAATGCTATGAGAATACAGGTGGGGGGTCTTTCCTGTAGTGCACAGGTATGGAGGAAGCAGGCAGTTATAGGACCCTTGATACCAACCTCCTTGCCAACATCCCATAACTGGGCCCTATGCGTTTGTCTGAAACTCCCAAACCTTCAAGTCTCAAGCACTTGATCCATTCATGAATTGGGTGAATGAATGATCCATTCATTCATTCCTCACTCAACTTATTTTAGAGGCCATTGGAGGCCAGGCATTATGCTTGACTCTAGTAAAACAGTGGTGAACAAAAGAAATATGTTCCCTGCCACTCATGGTACACTCATGGACACTTAACCAGTCAGATACGTTGCACATATTACAAGGTTGAAGAAGAAACAAGCCTAGAAATGCTTCTAAAGTTTGTCATTGTGGCTGTGACATTCGCTGACTCATCAATCCTATTCCGCTTTTAGTGTCCTCCCTCTCCCCAATTAGAAATTCTTTTATGTAAGATGTTTATAAAGCAGTGACAGGTTTTAAAATCTGTATCTCCCTCACTCTATTGTAGTACAGTGTGGAATACATTTTGATTGTCTTCTGAAATCAAAGCTACTTTGAGACTAATTTATTGTAGAAATGACCTCAAAACAGACCTGAGAGGTGGGGGCTCGTGTGAGCCCTGTTTTTCAGAGGAAAAACTAAGGCTTGGGAGAGCAGAAATCCCTTGCCCTAAGTCCCTCAGTGAAAAAGTGGCTGGGATTTAAACCTAGAGGGTGAGGCCTACTTTTTTTTTTTTCCAGCTGCACTCATTTACCTCCCAACTCCCTGCCCCTCAACCCCGTAACTTCTGACCCCCGACCCTCTCCCCCCAACCCACAGCCAGACCTGAGAGAGACATGAGGACGTTGTTGATGGAGTATACCCAGGTAGTCCGGCTAGAAAAGAGCTGCAGAGAGGACGATGGTTTCTATAACCCCCCTGCAACCCCCCTCTGGCCCTGCCCTCCCCCAGCCCAGACACTATCTCTTACCATCTCCAGCGTGGCCTCCTGGTCGTTGCGGTTCAGGATGAAAATGCCTTCCTCTGCCCCCAGGAGTAGGTGTTGGTCTGGGGGGGGGACAGACGAGGATGCTGGGGAGCCTCCCAGATTCCCACCTGTCTGATCCCTAAACCCCAGCTCTCTGGCTCTGACCTGCTCTTCTCATACCTCAAACTCACATTCCCAGCCTCTGCTTCCGCAGATCTGAACTCCAACCCTGACCAGCCCCGTACACGTACACCAGCCGCGATCTTCCCTGCTTCCAGCTTCCCTGTGGATTTTCTGTGTCTGATCCGCAATCCCCCGTCTTCTGTTTCGACTCTGCAACTGTAGACTTGCCTCCTAAATAGCCCTCTAGGCCCCATCCCTCTTCTCCCTGGTTCTGATCCCCAAGTGCAAATCCATTACTTTTTAAACTCAGGTCCCCCCAAAATGACTTTCTCTGTCTAACATGACCCCCTAAACTCTGAAACTGTCTTTCATGTTGACCCCTTCACTCACCTTATCTCTGCAGCATTTCAATCCCTAAAACTCTGGACCCCAAAATGCCAATCCCAGTGTACCTACTAGCCTCCAGCTGACTTTGTCCACCCATCTTGTATTCCAAACTGTAAACTTTCTTTTATATTCTGACACTCCCAGTCCCCAAGCTCTCACTTTCCTGGTTTTCACTCTCCAATTCACCTTCTCTCTACTCATTTCTTTCTCTTTTTTTTTGGAGAGGTTTTTGCTATAGGGCTCATGTGCTTGTCAGGAAGACAAAGAGAGACAAACAGAAAGCGAGAAATCATCCCCCCAGGGGGGATGGCCACGCGGCAATCCCTTCTCCTCTCGGGATCTTGGGCACGCACGCACACGCGCCCAGCGCAAGTTTTAAGCCACCGGGTCTGGAACGTGAACCGCAGTCGACTACATGGGAGTCCAGCGACATAGCCAATACGCCAACTGCTGGTCCCCTGTCTACCCATTTCTGACCCCCAAATCCCAACTGTAACCCACAAGCTCTGCCCCACTTTCCTCCTGGCCACTCCCCACCCCACAAGACCCTCGCCCTGTCCCTGCCTTTGTGCCGTCCACCAGGCTCCTCCCACCCCCATGCCCAGGCTCTCCTTGACCCTCCTGGGTACCTACCCTTGGTGGAGGGGTGTGTCCAGGCAGCTGTGCTGTGGATCCGGAGGGGGCACCCATTGAACAACTTGACGAGAAGGGCACATCCCTGGGTGGGCCATGGTAGGCCAAGCAGCAGATCCAGCAAAAGGGGGCAGGGGACAGGAGGGTGCAGGGGTTGAGACTCTGGGCAAGAATGCCAGGGTTCAAGTCTGGCTTCTACCTCCTCAGAGGTACATATATGACTTGGGCAAGCTACTTACCACTCTGTGCGTCAGTTTCCCCATCTGAGAAATGGGGGATTCTGTCTACCTGTGAATATCTACTTCTAGCTGTGAAGGTTTCAATGTCTGGCACAGCGGAAGTGCTCTATGAATGTCACCTAGTGTCTGGCACAGCGGAAGTGCTCTATGAATGTCACCTATTATTATGAGTCCTCCCCACCCCCTTCCTGCTCTCACCAGGCATCCCCAGGCCCATCCAGAGGTGCAAGTCCTCAGCATGGCTGGCCTCACCTTTCTCTTCATCTTTTCCTTCTTGGGGGGCAGCAGTGGGGGCTGGTCAGGCTCCCAGGAGGCTGGGTTCCAGAGTGAGGGTTCTGAGAAGAGACATTGAGACAAAATCAGCCCTGGAGGGCCCCAACCACTGCCCACCCTCCACCTCAGCCCGTCCTTTTACCTGAGTGGGCGGTGAGGTAGGGGCCTTGGGTGGCTGGGGGAGGCCCAAGACGGGGGGTACGTGGGGGAGGCCCACTAGCACATCGGACCAGCACTCCTGGACTCAGCTGCCCCTCATCTTGCATCCCCCCAGGACCCTCGTCCGACGGAGAACGGAACTTGGGCTTTAGAGACAGAGAAGGAGCATGATGACCTCGGAGAGGGCAGCTTGCAACCCAACCCTGCCTCCACCAGGACGGAGTTAGCGGGGAGCTGACATCCGCACGACCTCCTGCCGCCATTCCCTCGGATGCCCCCCATCCCGACATCGCAGAAACAACTAGTGACCCGTGTCCACGAGGCTAAGCATTCGACTCCCTCCCCAGGCTGAGGGATGCCAGTGCACACCCATCACCCGAATCTCCAGCCTCCCAGCCTGAGAGCCCAGTATCCCGGCTCCTAAGGACCTGACTTCCTGGTCCCCATGGGCCTGAGCCCCCAGCTTCCCAGCTCTGCTTACCTTGGGGGGCAGTGGAGGAGGTGTGTCCTCTATAGGGGTGGGGCTGAAACACACAGATGGGGTGAGCAAGTGGGGGCCTAGGGGGCAAGGACTGGGGGAAGATGGGGTGGCTTGGGGCTGCAGGCCTGGGACTGGGGGCAGGGGGGCAGTTAGGGGGGAATCGGCCTGGCTGGAGCTGAGAATGCAGGGTGGCCACAGTGGCAGTAGCCCTCGGGTATGGAGCTCTGAGAGTGCAACTGCACCACCAGCCGGTGACAGACAGGACCCCCAGGAGCAGGTTCTCACTTTGCGCCGGATCCACATACAAGCCCATGCAGTACACGCGAGACGCGTGGATGGGATGAACGAGTGCCCTGAGGAGGGCACTATGCCGGGGCTGGAGAACACACGCCAAGGCTCACTGGCAGCGTTGAGGTTTGGGGCTGGGGCTGGGGGCGGGCCTGGGGAAGTTTCCAGGGGCCCAGGTTCAGTGAGAAAATGGAAAAAGCTGAGGGGTTGAGGTGAGGGGCTGAAGTTGAGGTCAGTGGCTAGGACACCAGCTGGGAGGAGTTTGAGACTGGGAAGTGGCTGAGGGTCATGAGGTCAGGGTGGGAAAGGTCTGGGGTGAGGTTGAGGACATTCTGGAAGGAACTAGGGTCAGATCTGGGGCCCAGAGCAGTCAGGGGCTGAAGTTGGGGCAAGGTCAAAGGTCGTATAAGAAGGTAGAGGTAGGAGCTGGGACTGGGCTGAGGGTCAGGCCTTGGTGGTGAAAGGTTGAGAGTGGAGAGGAGTTGAGGACTAGCAGCTGGAGAGAAAGGAAGATGGGGGCTGATTTGACGATCCAGTCAGGGCTCAGGGGTGGAAGGGAGGTAGGAGTGAGGCTGTGGTCAGGGGTGGAGGTAAGGCATGGGCGTGGGAAGGCAGGGACTGGGGCCAGGCCTCTCTTACATGTCCACGTCATCATAGTCGTCATCAGACTCTGACAGAGGCCTCCTGTAGGGTGACAGGCATGAGCCTCAGTGGCACCCACACCTCCCAGCCCTGCCCTCCCCTCCTACCCTGGGAGGCACTGACCTGGGACTGCTGCTCCCAAGGTCTCCAGGGGGCTGAGAGCGAGCCTGTGGGATAGGAAAGGGTGAGCAGAGGCCTAGGGAAGTGGAGGGGCTCTGGGGAGAGGGGAAGGCAGCTCACAGTGTCATTCATAGGTCTGGTCTCCATGGCTCTGAGTTTCCTGAATTCCATGTGCCGTCCTGGGAGGTGAGGAGGGGTAGTGAGGCGGATTTGGGAGAAGACAGAGTAGACTCTGGGGTTTGATCAGGAACTTAAGAGTTGATACTGTCTCATAGGGAGAAGGGTCTTGGTTTATAGGAGTCTAATCTGGGGATCAAGGTTTGGGATCAGGGAGGTAGGGGGTCAAAATATTTAAGAGTTTTTGTTCGTGGGATGAGCAGGTGGCATGGTGGTTAAGGCACTGGACTCCCATGTGGCTGACCATGGTTCAAGTCCTGGACCTGGCGGCTTGCTTTCTTGCTTTTTCTTTCTCTCTCTCTCTGGTCAAATGAAAAAATAAGTAATAATAACAAGATAAATAATTCTTAAAAAAAAAAGTTTTAGTCCTCAGGAGCTGTTGGGTATGAGGGGTTCTGATAGGTATTTCTCTTCCCTCCCTTTCTTCCTTCTTTTGCCAGAGGGTGTGTGCTCTTACCAGACAGAGAGAGGGAGAAGAGAAAGTACCCCCCCATGAGGATGGTCTTGCCACAATCCCCTTTCCTCCATCTCTTCCTCCTTTTGAGATTTTGGGCATACACGCACATGCGCCCAATGTTTCTCAAGCTACTGGGTCTGGGACTTGAACCGTGTGGTCAAATGTACTGCCTTAACCATTAGGCAAAGGAGCCAGCCCTCTGATATAGATTTCTGAGGTCTCTTTGGGGTCAGGGAGATGACAGGAGGTCTCATGGGGCCTGTGTGCAGGTCAGAGTGGTGGGGGACCTCTAAGGTCATTTGCTGGTCAGGTGGTGACAAGGTTCTCTGGGGTGTCCTATGGGATCAGATGAAGGTGAGGTCTCAGGAGGGAGAGGGGTTGGATCTGTTATGGGGTCAGGTGTCCCCAAACTAGAGGACTCTACTCACGACAGCAGTCTGCGTCTGGGACACCCAGAGAGCTGGACCGGTGGGTGGATCTGATCCGCCGGGGGATAGCAGGCGGAAGCTGGGCAGAGGAGCCACTCCATCAGGGCTCACAGCCCCAAACAGCCCTCCACCAGCCTCGAGCCCTCCTCCCCCCCAACCCGCTGTGCGCCCAGCTGTGGCCCACGCTCCCCACCCTCCTGCCCAGCCTGAGCCAAGGCACGGAGGTCCCGGTGCTCTAGTCAGCCAAGACCCTTACCTCAGGCTCCTCATCCTCAATCTCACCAACTGGGGGCCCCTTCCCGGGATTCCTCAGTTTGTCAAGAAGATCTAGGATCAAGCCTCTGTTCAGCCCAGGCTGGGACACCAGTTGATGCTGGGGGAAGGTAAGAGGTGTCAGCAGACGAGAGCTGGTGAGGTCGGGGGGTTGGCGGGGGCTTCTGCTGGGGAAGGTGCTGAGGGAGAAGGAAATCTAGGGAGCTCGGGCGTTACTGTCTTCGTTTTCTTTCTTTTTTTGTGCTTTTTTGTGTGTGTGTGTGATCTTTTTACAATTTTGCCAGAGGCTCATGGGCATGCCACAATCCTTTCTTTATCTTTCTTCTTTTGGGATTTTGGACACACACGTGTGTTCAGTATGTTTTTTAAAGTCACTGGGTCCAGACCCGAACCATGCAGTTGGCCATGTGGGATCCAGTCACCCTAACCACTTGCCACAGGCTGGCCTGGAATTCTGAGATGTTTTAAGAGACTAGGAAAATTGAGGGTTCTCAGAGAGGGACTTGGAGAATTCCAGAAGTGTCATAGAGTTCTAGCAACTCATGAGATCTTGGAAAGATCTTGGTGGGGGAGGGGATCCTGGGAGTGTCCTGGGAAATTGTGGAGGATGATGCCACATAAAGGGCCCGGAGGGTTCTGTGGGACTGTTATTGATGTTCTAGAGGGTTGTGGAAGGCCTGGGGAATTCCGGGTTAGGTACTAGGGAGGCTTCTCAGGGCGGAGATGTTTACACTGAGCATCTTGGTGGCTCCAGGTCGTTTCTTGGGGTTCTTAGTGAGGGTGACTTTGACAAAGTTGTGAAAGGCAGCTGACCTGGGGAGGAAGGAGCAGGTGTGAGGGGAGGGCAGGGGTGAGGGGAGCAGACACTTTCCCATCAGACCATCCAACCCCAACTCTGCCCTCACTCCCCCGGCCCCCTGGGTCCCTCTTACCATTTGCCTTTTTCCTTTAGCCGAGGAGGCTGGTAGCCACTCTTGGTCATGAGGAAGAGGACTCTAGAGTGATAGGAAAAGAACATGGGGTGCAGACCTTCAAGGGGGCTGGAGAGTTCCCAACAGCACCAGGGTCCACAGAGCAAGGTGAGGGACCCACGAGAGCGGGGTCTTGCGATGCACTGGGAGGCTGCGTCTAAGGAAAGCTGTTTCACGCTGTGGCAAGAGGTCCCTGAGTAGGGGCTTCTGGGGTGGACGGCTGGAGAAAAGGCTCTCTGTAGGAGGCTCCTCGGAAAGCCTGAAGCAGGCCGAGGAGCGGTCTTCATGGTCCAGGCCAGGCAGGGTCTCCGGGCCCCGGGGACCTGCCATGCCTGCCTACCTGAGAGGGTGCACATCGAAGAGGGGTGGCTGTAGCTCGGCTAGCTCGATGGCTGTGATGCCCAGGGACCAGATGTCACACAGCTCATTGTATCCCCCCTTCAGGGCCACAGCTGCCACTTCCGGAGCCATCCTGGGGGCAGAGACCCTCAGAGAGTGGGGGAGGGGTGGCACGGGGTGTGGGGGCAGTAAGGAGGAGAACGAGGCCCGGCTGGTAAGAGAGACACTGACAAAGACAGATGCAGGGAGAGAAAGACAGAGTGGCAGGGACAGGCTGGAGGAGACAGACTGGGAGACAGAAATGAAGAGACAGAGAAAACCACAGACAGACAGAGGGAACAGACAGAGACAGCTAGAGAGAGGCAGAGATGGAGATAAAAATCAACGTAAACACCAAGAGACATGGGCAGAGAGCCAGGGAGACGAGCAAGTGGAAGCCCTGAGAGAGAGTAGAGGGGCGACAGACTCGTCCATGAGAAAGGCAGAGGCAGGGAACGGAGCCAGGAAGGAGAGCCAGTGCCCCCACTGCACCCCGCTGCCCGCCAAGCACCCCTCACCAGTAGGGCGTCCCAATGAAGGACAGGCGTCGAGCCAGCGTTGCCCCGATCTGGGCGGAGATACCAAAGTCAGCTGCAGGCAGAGGAAGAGATATAGCTATCTGGGGTCTCCTGTACCCCCAGTGGGACCCTGTACCCCCACCAGCCACACTCACCCAGTTTGACCTCCCCGGCATCATTAATGAGGATGTTGGCTCCCTGGGGGTGAGGGTGAATCAGGCTCAGAGACCCATTCCTCAGTGCAATGCTGCCCCATCCCCAGTCCCACTCCATGGCTCAAACTACCCTGAGCACCGAACCCCTCAAATGATCACTCCTATCTCCTGGGCCCTCCCCCCAGTGGAACCCCCAGACCACCTTGATGTCTCGGTGTATCTTCTTCTGTGAGTGCAGATAGGCCAGTCCCTGTGGAGAAGGACAGACAAGGGCTCTGAGTGCCCGGGGACTCAGTAGGCCCCGTCCCCTTCTTACCCCCCACCTGGGCCTCTCCTCACCTGGAGCACTTCACGGCAGACGTAGCTAATCTGGAGCTCTGACAGGGAACCAGTCACTGCAAAGGTCACCCAGCAAGGCCAGGCATTGAGTGGGAGTCAGGAAGCCTGGGTTGGGGAGTCCCTGGCCCCCACCCCGTCGGTGACAGAAAGAATCTGGAGGGAGAGTCCTTAGGCAGATATTTATTGTGTGCCTACTGTGTGCCTGGCTCCATGGCAGGCCCAGGGAACACAACTGCAAACCGAAGAGGCCGAGACGCCCCTGCCCTCCTGCAGACAGCAAGCCAGAGACAGATGGAGCAGATGGAGAAGTAAAACAGAGGACATGAGATGCCCATGAATACCAGGTTGTCGGGAAAGTCAGGACGGGCTTTTCTGCTTTGCTGTGCAAAAAAAATGCATCAGGACTTTGCAGACAACCCAAGAGTAAGAAGGAAAACAGAGCAAGAAAGGACTGCAGGAAATGTGAGGGAACAGCAAGACAGACAGACGGGTGGTCAGAGACTAGATCTGACAGACTGGCAGGATGCATCACTTCCTCTCTGCAGGCCTCAGTTTCCCCCCACACCCAAGGACTTCTTCATTGAGCCCTTCCGACATTTGAGGTCTTGGGCTGGAGGGAGCCAGGGAGATAGCTGAAGACAGAGGTGAGCATCAGGAACTCAGAGAGGTGCCCAGAGGCCCACCCTCCCCTCAAATTCTCTGAAAGAGTCAAAGAGCCAGAAATGCATTCACTCACTTGACGAAAATCCCCAGGATTGTCCAGGCTATGCCCCAGCCCCCACAAAAGGGGCACATGCATCAAGTACAAATCCCAAAAAATAGTTCCCAGAGACCCAAATAGAGGGAGGCAGGAGAGGTCGCTGTGAAGGTGGAGGTGCCCGGGTCCCCTGGGCTTTCCTCTGTCTAACCTTGGTAGATGTCCTGGAGAGACCCAGCACCACAGAATTCCATGCAGATCCAGAGCTTCTGCAACCTACAGTGGTCCAGGAGGGATGATGATAACGGCAGTGGTAAGTTATTTTCTGTAGGAGTCAGGGGCTCCCCTGGCTCACTGCTGTCTTGATCTAGGTCAGTCAGAACCTTAACGTAAGAGCCTTGCCCATCAGAGTGAGTTTCTCCCATTCCCATTTTACAGATGAGAAAGGTGAGGCTCAGAGGACATGTGTGTTCAGGGGCAGCTCGACTTGAACCTAGGTCTTTGGGCTCCAAACCCAGGGCACCCCTCTGCTGTCCCACACTAACCTTGGAGACAGGGCAGAGATCTCATTGGTCACAGAGGCTTGGAGAGGACAGAGAAGTCCAGAGTGGCACTGAGGTTATTTTGGGGGCATCTGGGATATTAATTTGGGGGTTAGAGTATTTAGGAGCTCATAGTAAAGAAGCAGAAAGTGAAACTGGGGGGCCTGAAGGACAGCATAATAAGAAACTAGTTTTAGGGGAGTCACTTCCTACTTGCTGACACTGAAGGGATCGATTTTTGGAGAACTTCTGGTCAGAAATGGGAGTTCTGGATTGAGAATTAGATTAGGGAGGCTCTGGTCAGAAAAGGAGAGTTCTGGACTAGAGATCAGGCTAGGGGTGTCCCAGTTAAAAATAGGGATCTAGTAGTGGAGGGCAGGTTGGGGGTGCCACAGTCAAAAATGGGAGTTCCGTGTTAGGAGTTGGGCTGGGGCCTGGGGTAGGTCTGAGGTGCATCACCAGAGGTAACTCCCATGGTAGGCCACGATGTTGGCATGCCGGCAAGTTTTCAGCATGAGGATTTCCTTCTGAAGGGTAGAGACGTCATCATCTGTGATCAGGGAAGGAGAGAAAAGGCCGCTGCGGGGAGGGAGCTTTGGGGGAGGTGACCCCAGTATCCCAGAAGGTGGGGGTGGAGGGAAGGAGCACCCGGGTCCTCTCCTCACCAGGCTCCATCTTCACCATCTTCAATGCCACCAGCTCCCCCGACACCTTGTCTCGAGCCTTGTAAAGGGGAAGTTGGCAGTCAGGCAGGCTCTGTTTGCCCGAGTCTCTCCTCAGCATCCCTGACCCAAGGCCAAGAAATGGGGCCCTCTTGTACCCCCTCCCTTTCTTGGGCCTTACTCCAAAAGTCACTGGTTTCAGGGTGATGGAGACAGAGGGGCTTCCTCACCTTAAAGACTTCCCCATAGGTGCCGCCACCCAGCCGTTGCAGCAGGTCGTAATGATCCCGGGGGTCCCTATTAAAGATGTCTGGATCCACGAGGTCCATCCCTGGGGGCCAGAGCTGGGCCTGTGCCCAGGGGGCAGCAGGGCCTTAGGGCTCCAGTGCCGGCACCTCCCTCCCTCCCTCCCCACCAGTCCTGCACCCGCCTTGCCTCTGCGGGCTGTGGCCTCCCCCTTCCCCACTCTCGCTTCCTGCCCCAGCTGCAGGGCTGTGCAACGGGCTCCACCCCCTGTCTCTGTCCCCTGGGCTCTGAGAGCCTGTGGGGGGCAACTTGCCTTGGGACCCAGGGGACACTTCCCCACCCCAGGGCTCAGTTCTGGATGTAAATGAGATGCAAATTATCTTAATTATAACAGGAGGGTGCCCTAGCGCTCAGCTCCCTGCTGGGGCTGGGTGGGGTCTACAAATCATAGCTGAGCCCCTGCTCTGTGCTGGGAGCTTTGGGCTACAACTTGGAGGGGGCAGGTTTGCACAGGGACAGCTCTGCAGTGTACATGCCTGGTCACTGGGGGTGCATACATGCACTTATTTACCTCCAGTGTGTGGCAGGCATGTAGACATGTACGTCTGGAAACCTGTGTGCACACGTAGATGCATCCAGAGTATAAACCTCCACATACATGGCACATGCTTGTGCATTCACCCTGCAGTGTACAGAAGCTATACAGGAGTAATTGCTGGCAGCTCTCAGCCTGAGACTGGAGCATATTGGAGACGGGGTACTATGTGGTGGGGTCCAGAAGCCCTTCACCCCAGCCTCTGCTCAGCAAAGCACAATAGCTTGTGGGACCCTACTCCTAGGGCTGGAATGGAAGGTGGGGACCAGGGATCAGGACCTGAAACTGGTGAGCTCAGGATCCTGCCTCCGGGTCCCAGGCCTGAGGCAAGGGGACTTCGGGGAACACCTCCCCTGTCACTTAACCATGGCCAAAAGAAAGCCATTACACGCATTCCCGCGCAGTTCTGTGGGTTTCCGGCCACGCGTAATGCGACGTGCGCGTCCACCACCAATACCAGGCTCCTTCCCTGTGAGCTCGCGCGCACGCGCGATCCGTGCGCGCGATCCCGGGCTTTGGAACTGCGAACGCAAGGGCCGGGAAGAGCTTAGCCCCGCCTCCTCGCCACGGAAAGACGCCTGCGCACTGGAGTAGATGAAGCTTTTTCTCACGCCGTTGGTCCTGTTCGGGCGAATGCGCACGCGCCAATTGCGCCTGCTGTGAAGAAGTCACGTGGCAGTCGGAAAAGCGTGGCCGCGGTTGCAAGACCTTTGCTCTTCACCGCCCCAGGGGCTGGCGCGAAAGCAATGACGTATTTCCGTCTCCACTACCTCTTCCCCTTCCGGTCCTCGAGGACGCTGCCGCCAGTCTTGGGCCCTGCTCCATCCTTGATAGTGGCAGGCGGCAGTAGTCATGGCGATGTTTGAGCAGATGAGAGCGAACGTGGGCAAGTTGCTCAAGGGTATCGACAGGTCTGATCCTGGTCCGAGAGGGCGCTGGCCAAGCGGGGTGGACGAGACGGTGTTCCGGAGACAGCGGAGGGTGGTCCGGGTCCTGGGCTTCCCCTGGGGTGGCTTTTCCATGTCATTCTGGATGTGGGGAGGTCTTCCTGGAGATGTTTAAGGAAATGGCACCTCAGAACCTTCGAGGCGGGAGGGAGCCTCCCCTGCCATTCAGGTTTCTCCTTGCTCACCGTAGAGTTCCTCTGCCTCGTTTCCCTTCTCTGCTCCTCAATCTATGCCACTTAATCTCCCCTTCTCTATCCCTCATGTCATTCTTCCACTGAAATCTACTCTGGCAGTGCTAGACGTTGGGATACCAGAGGTGACCAAGGGCAGCCCCAGGCCATGCCGTTCTGAGCTCAGTTCCCATCCCACAGGGAAGGCGACCTCCACGACAGACAGTGCTAGCTGGGAGCGGTTGGGGGGACCTAGGCGGCGACCTGGGCAGAGGATGGCCGAGGAGCAGAGGGTAGCAGAGATGCTCAGAAGGCAAGGCCGCGCGCAGGCAGCAGAGACTGACTGGCTGAGAGGTTGGCGCCGTTCTAGACCAGGCTCAGACGCTCAGCCCTGCTGCCCTTTAGAGCTTAGGCGGGAAGTCTGGGAGGGAACGGTTTTATCAGAGGCTATAGAACGGGTTCATTATTTGGTCAAAGCCATTGGTAAGTCCCAGATTCAGAAGGGGAGGAAAGGGACCAGCAGTTAGCGTAATGGCTATGTCGCTGGACTCTCACGTAGTCGACCGCGGTTCACGTCCTGGACCCGGTGACTTAAAACTCAACGCCGGGCGCGTGTGCATGCGTGCCTAAGATCCCGAGACGAGAATGGAGGAGAAGGGATTGCGACGTGGCCATCCCTTGGGGAGTGATTTCTTGCTTTCTATCTCTCTGTCTTTCTCGGTGTGTCTGGCCAACGCATGCGCTCTATAGCAAAAGCCTCTTAAAAAAAAAAAAAAGGGAAGGAAGGGAGGAGCAGGTTATAGTGGCCCCTTAGCCCCACAGAGTGACCGGCCTCAGCTCCTGTCTCCATCCTGATTCTTCTCTAGGTACAACCCTGAGAACCTGGCCACCCTGGAGCGCTATGTGGAGACACAGGCCAAGGAGAATGCCTATGACCTGGAAGCCAACCTGGCTGTGCTGAAACTGTGAGTCTCTGGCCCCCTCTTCACCCTCATGCCAGCATCTAGCAGGGTGCCACTGGGAGTACTCTGCTCCTCAGCCTTCACTGTCAGCTCCTCAGTTTCCTGTAAGGTGTGGCTTCTCTTGGTAGGCAAGACTAGGAAGTTGGCATGAGAGAGGGGATTAAGAAAAAAATTAAAAAATAATACTAGGGACCAGCAGGTGGCCTGGTGGTTAAGGTGCTGGACTCTCACATGGCCTGATGTGGTTCAAGTCCCGGACCTGGTGGCTTGCTTTCTCTCTCTTTCTCTCTGGTTAGCACATGGGCCCTATAGGAAAATTAAAAACAATAATAATAAATAAAAATTAAATAACTTTTTGGGCCAGCAGACGTTGTGGTGGTTGGGGTGCTGGATTCTCACATGGTCAACTACAGTTCGAGTCCCAGACCTGGTGACTTGCTTTCTTGCCTTCCCTCTCTTTCTGTTTCTGTTTCTCTCTGGCCAAATTAAAAAATAATAACAATACATAGCATTAATTCTTTAAAAAACAATAATAGATATGGGACCAACAGTTGGCATGGTGGTTAAGGCATTAGATACTCCCACGTGGCCAGCCATGGTTCAAGTCCCGGACCTGGTGACTTGCTTTCTCACTTTCTCTCTCTGTTTCTTTCTTTGGTCAAATTAAAATAAATGAATACATAAAATAAATAATTCTTTAAAAAAATAAATAAAATACAAGGGAACCAGCAGTTAGCATAATGGCTATGTCGCCGGATTCCCATGTAGTCGACCGTGGTTTGCGTCCCGGACCCGGTGGTTTAGACCTCACACTGGACGCGTGTGCCTGCGTGCCCAAGATCCTGAGAGGAGAATGGAGGAGAAGGGATTGTGGTGTGTCCATCCCCCCTGGGGTGCGATTTCTTACTTTCTGTCTCTCTCTGTCTGTTGGGCGAGTGCACGCACCCTATAGCAAAAAAAACTCTCAAAAAAAAATATATATATAGTTTGATGAATAACTTTGAATGAACACTCATGTACTCACCATTCAGGCTGCGAAAGCACTGGTAGTGCCACAGGCCCTTTGCCCAGAATGCCTTTGGTAACCATTGTTTGCTCTCGTGATCTGGCCTCATGTGCTACTTTACCTCACGTGCGTGCATCAGGATCTGTGTGGGCTTCAACTTGACCCAAATGCAGTCACAGCATGAGATCTTCTGCACGGGCATCTACCCTCAGCACCGGCTTCATGAGATTCATCCATTTATGTTTGGCTGCTGTTTCTTTGATGTCCGTGCTCTGTAGTGTTCTAGGGTATGATGTGTCCAGATGATCTGTTCCCATGTGTGAGCACTCAGCTTCTCTCCCCTCAGCTGCTTTCTTGACACACTGTCAGCTGCGTACCACTTGCAAGTCAGGTAGCCTCAGCGTTCCCGTCTGTAGCAGGGAGATAAGATCTGTGCTTGTGGGGTGGCTTAGATTCTTATTGGTGATTACTTGCTTGGCAAGTGCTCATCCTGTGTGCTGCCATGCTGCAGGCTTTGTACCCACTCACTCGATGGCTGTGTTGCCCCTGTGAGGTGCAGGTGGCAGTGAAGTCCTGTTTTGTCAGGGAAGAAACCGAGGCACAGAAAATGTAAAATTAAAGTCAGCAGTCCACCAGTCTTAGACTGTTACTGCATTGCTAACAGAAATACTTGCGCTTGAGTGCTTTAATAATAAGATAAACGTTTATTAACAAATTCACATTTTTTAAAAAATTAATTAATTAATATTTTTGGAGAAGTTTTTGCTATTATTTTTTTTTTTTTTGAGATTGCTATTAATTTTTTTGGAGAAGTTTTTGCTACAAGGGTGCATGTGCTCGCCAGAAAGGGAGACAGAGAGACAGAAAGCAAGAAATCACCCCCGTGGGGGGATGACCACACTGCAATCCCTTCTCCTCTGTTCTCCTCTCGTAATCTTGGGCACGCGCGCACACGTCCCCGGCGTAAGTTTAAGCCACTAGGTCCGGGACTTGAACTGCTAGTCCAGCAATGTAGCTATTACACTATCTGCTGGTCCCAACAAACTCACATTTCTGATGACGGGAAAATCCAAAGTCCTAAGAGTGTAGCCTGGCCAGCAGGAAAACGGAGGATGGTAAGCACGTGCAGAGAGAGCCAGACTGATCTTATTTATGGCAACCAGCTCTAGTAAGAACTAACACCTCACAGAGCTGGAACTCACTGAGGTCGCATGAGATATCATTAATGTGTTCTTGGGTTTTGCCATAGGGGGCATGTACTCACTCGAGAAAGAGAAAGAAAGTGAGAAATCACACCCCAGGAGAGATGGCCATGCTGCACTCCCTTCTTCTCCATTCTCTTGGGATTTGGGAATACGTACACACACCAGGAGCGATCGTAAGCCACCAGGTCTGAGACTCTAACTGTGGTCGCTTTGCGGGAATCGGCACCTTAACCATTATGCCACTTGCTGGCCCCGTATTAATCTATACTTAGACGATTGCCTCCATGATGCAGTCACCATCAGCCAGTCACAGTGCCCTCTAGGCCTGGCCATGGAACACTGAGTAACTTCACTTAATACCGTGACAGTGCAGACAGGGTATCAGGTCCCAACACTCAACCTCTGGGGGACTTGCTCAGTAACTCAGAAGCGAAGTTTAAACCTAGGCAGCCTGACTTCAGAGCCTTAACCACTCCTCCAGACCGCTGCCTCTGTACTCAGTTGTTTGGGAAGCACTTAACAGTGTTTGCTTTATTGGGTGGTCATGAAGATTGACTGTCTCATCTACACAGCAAGAAAGCAGGCTCAGTTGGGCCGGTAGATGGCGTGGTGGTTAAAGGCACTGGATTCCCACATGGCTGAACATGGTTCAAGTCCTGGACCTGGTGGCTTGCTTTCTCACTTTTTCTTTCTCTCTCTCTCTTTCTCTCTCTCTCTCAGGTCAAATTGAAATAAACAAATGTATAAGTAAATAAAGTTAAATAAAATATTAAAAAAAGGAAAGCAGGCTCAGTGAGGTTAAGATCACACAGCTGGAAATTTAAGGTTTGGATTAGAGTCCGGTCATGTCCAGTTTCCAAGCACCAGACTATAGCAGTGGGCAGCCTGTCTGGCACCCACTGGGACTCGGGGACCTGGAAATGCCACTATTGCTATGTCTCTTATCCCTTTCTCAGGTACCAGTTCAACCCAGCCTTCTTTCAGACCACAGTCACTGCCCAGATCCTGCTGAAAAAAAAACCTCACCAACCTGCCCCACACCGACTTCACCCTGTGCAAGTGTATGATCGACCAGGCACATGTATCCTTCCAGCGCAGGACTGGGGGCATGGAGGGGGGTATGTGGGAGGGCGGGAGGCAGGTAGGTGAATTCCAGAAAGTGGGCTATGGGTTCATGCACAGATACCAAGTGCCCACTCTGGGGTCAGCTGGTGCTGGGCAGGGCTGGGACGCTGTAGGGCCGGAAACAGGCCTGGACTCTGCTCTCACGTAGTTCATGGCCCAGTAAGGAGACAGCTCGATTGTTCAGGACTTGGGCAAGGAGGGCCAGAGGAGGTGTCTGACCCTGCCTGAAGGTTAGAGGCAGTTTCCTAGAGAAGGTGAGAAGTTCGGTGAAAGGGTGGGTAAGAGAGGTCTCGAGAGGAGAAAGAGCTCAGTGCTAAGAGTCGAAGTTCGGTGTAAGGATGCCATAGATTACTCTTTTCTTCCCCTCTAGTGAAGCCCTGTGCCACTCACTAGAGGGAAGGAGGGAGAAAGCACCCCTCAGGTGGGCCTGGTCACAGCACATCCCCTTCCCCTCCCATTTCTCCACCCCATGAGGACTTCAGGTGTGCACACATGTACACACACACACACGCCGACGTGTTTCCGGAGCCATTAGGGCTGGTGTCAGCAGTGTGGGATCTGCTGCCCTGGAATTGCCCTGGAGCTGCTGTGCTACAGGACCAGCCCAGAGTGCTGTCGTTTTCAAAGCGGGGTACAGTCAGGTTCAAAGGGCACCGGGGAACCATGGGAAACTTTGATGTTCTGGGCAACATGGGTAGATTAATGCTTCAGAAAGGTTGCCCTGAAGACTCCAACTGAGGGACCAGCAGTTAGCGTAATGGCTGTCGTTGGACTCCCACGTAGTCGACCGCAGTTTGAGTCCTGGACCCGGCGGCTTAAACTCACGTCGGGCGCGTGTGTGTGCGTGCCCAAGATGCCAAGAGGAGAATGGAGGAGAGGGGATTGTGGCATGGCCATCCCCCCTGGAGGGTGATTTCCTGCTTTCTGTCTGTCTCTCTCTGTCTGTCTGGCGAGCACACACGCCCTATAGCAAAAATGTCTCCAAAAAAAAAAAAAAAAAAAGACTCCAACGGAGTGGAGACCCCCCAGGCCAGGTAGAAGGGGCTGGGAGCATGGCTAGGCAGGGCCACAAAGACCCAGACGAAACCCTGTTAGGGCAGACATTTCACCCATAGGTGTCAGGCCCGACACCAACCTGGCCTTCAGCAAATGTCGAATGCAAGTCAGTGACCTCCCTAGGCCACTCCCCTCCCTTGACTTGTCTCTTTGTGGCTGGTTGAGTGGTCCAGCTTTCGTTTAATCGTTTGACAGATGTCACCCACCTATGTGCAACAAGACAGGTGGGCCCTGTGCCTGTCACACAGGAGGGTACAGTGGGAAAATTAAGGCTTCCTCCTCTGGCCCACAGCCACCTCCTCTCTCACAGGCAACATTTGTTAGTCTTTTTTTTTTTTTAATTATTTGAATTTGACCAGAGAGGGACAGAGCGAGAGAAAGTGAGAAAGCCAGCCACACCAGGTCCAGGACTTGC